TTGTTTAATGTGTGTATATTAATAAATTTTTAATGTAATTCTAGCCACTTACCTCTCCTTTCGATTTCTATCCCATATGAAATTTCGGACGTAATGTTTGCCCTAGTTATTCAAAAAGAAAGTGGGTATGTATATAAAATTTTTTTATTTTGGATCGCTCGGTCTGAGATGAGACAAAAATCATACTTCTTTAGGATGTTATACCGTGATTACAGAATTATCCGATGATTAATTTGGTTGTATCAGGTAATAAACTAATCTACTGTTGAGTCGCGGTTGAGTTGCAGTATTTTTTTTCTATATAATTCTATGAAAAATGGGTGTATCGCTGTAGAGTCGCGGTTGAGTCACGTTAGAAACTTAGTTATGTGGACTGATGATCAATTGAGCTTATTAATCACCGAAAGAAGAAATAGAAATGCCGAGTATCACAATATTTCTGGAAGTAGTAGAGTGAGTTTTTGAAATGATATTGCAAATATAATTAATGAAAGATTTAGTACCAACTATATGGGATATCAATGCAAGAGTAAATTTCAAAATCTTGTAAGGGATCACACTGTAAGTATTTTTACAAGGCACTTATTAACAGATTAAACTATAATTAGGTTGTAATACTATATAACCTAATAATTTTCTTGATTCTTGTTAGTTGATGTGCCAATATATGGCAGGAAATTGTGCAGGGCGTAGAACCAGAACCAGAATACAATACTTTGAGGAATTCTGTTCACGTTTTTGGGAGAGACCAGGTAAGGTTCTACATTAATCTCGAACATTCGTCTGCCTTTGCTGTAGGTGTCTTTGAAATAGAAACAAATTATTAATTTGTTAATTATGTATAAAAAAATCTAGAAACACAGTTTGATCAGATACATAAGTAAACACATCCTCAAGAAGAAGAAGAGAAGAAAGACGGCAAAACCGCACTCCACCACCAACCTACGAAGAAGTTTCATCAATGCTAAATATGAGTCGCCGTGAATCTCCTGCCGGTTAAAGGGATCAATCTACATCCCCGGCCCAGAGAATTCCCACCAGAAGAGACGAAACTACTAATCGAGATAATATAAATAATGTAAATGATGCGGATGAGAATTCAGGCCATAACACTAATGATGTAGATAGAAATTTAGATAATACGACATACTCATCTTTATCTAATTTGGTAAATACTACCTCAACCCTAATATATCAGATACATCTATGTACCCCTGCCCAAAATGGAAATGATCGTCATTGTTTATATGATTTCGATATGTATTTGTTTTTTTAAAAAAAATACCGTCAATTAGTATTAGGGTTAGTGTTAGGGTAAGTATAGGGCGTTAAAAAAGAAACTATACTAAAATTTTACAAGGAATTTTTTTTGCTAGAACGCAGAAGTTAGTTTCATAAGCGAAATTTCAAGATAAGAGCGATTTTTTAAAAAAACGATCAATTTTTTAATCTTAACGTTACACACTGATCATTCATGTAAATTCGACGTAATAGACGCTGATTGGATAGAAAGCGTAATTTCCAAATCAGGCAGAAGGTACATAGATGTACTCTAATATATCTGCATCACAAAACGACAGTGATATTAGTATGCCTGATATAGAAGGTAGCCAACCACCTTCCTGTATAGAAAATATAAATGAAGAGAATTAGCCTCATATTTGTTTTTAGGGGTGGCTTCTCTAAGCCATAAATATTCCTACATCCTATGATAATTGTATAACAGCAATAAATAATTCAAATTTTGATCTATTAGATGATTCGGTCATGTATAAAACATCGCGTGGATGTTCACCCAACATTCGATTTTACGTATTGTGATTTCGGATTCGCTATAAAAATAAATATTCAAAAGAAATGCCTGCAAACAAATATGTGCATTATTTTAGATGCAAACCATCCTCATACCATAAGACATAACCATATTAAAAAAATAATCAGTATAAATTATGGTATGTACAGTACTTCAGTATTTATGTGTTACTGTAGAATTTTTTCCTATTACCGTTATAGCATTAAAGATATCGCATAAAAAATAAAGTTCGTGATACAAGTAACTTGAATGGTTTGTACCACATTTCTGCAGAATCTTAGTGTTGTAGCCTGACGATCTAACTCTTTATTGACTTGATGAAGTATATATTATCGTTAATCATGATTTCTTGTTATAGACAAGGTCATGCAGTGCCTATGCTTCCACTACTATACTTTTATCTAGTAAGATCAAAGCATTATTCCAAGGAATAGGTGATGTGAAGCGTCGAGTTTTTAACTTCTGAATCTGTTTTGAATTACCTGAATATGCTTTTAGTACATCATCAAGTAGAATTTCCGGCTCTCTTAAATTAGTGCAATGTAAATAATATGTATTTTTACTTCGACTATTTAGCCACCACTTACCATATAAACTCATATGATTTTCTCTACATAGTGGACAATGTGAACCTAAAACCCAATAAGAATCAGTTTGATGCTCACCTTCTGTATCTATGCTATTATTTTTATCCAACTTTGGTGAATTGATAAAATGTATGGTTAATTTATTAATAACTTGATTATGCATTTCTTTTGACAGCATTTTCTTTAATGAAAAGAGGTTTAGAGTGGGCGATGCACTTATCTCAATATTTGATATATCTTTTGAGCTAGATGGCTTGGTCACGTGCGCGTGAACATTGTTCACGCTGATCACTTTTATTATATTTTGGACTTGTGTATCTGTTAGCCTAGAAATAGCATCAGCACTATATGTAACTTGCTTGATTTTATCTATTCCTATTTTTTTGAATAATGTATAAATATTTCTGGCCTTTTGAGTTTTCTTACGCAAATACTCTTTCTTGATGCCAGGAAAAAATGGTTCCAACTTATTATAAATCTGTGTTCTTGCCATTTGATCATTAAGTTTGCTTTTTAAGCTAATGTCTCTAACCTTTTTTTCGAATTCCTCACTATAATGATACCAACGTAAAATTTCTTTTTGACTAGTTTTTTTAGCCTTGTCGAATAAATAGGCCAAATGTGATGCAAAACCCGGTGTTGAATTATCGCCATCTAGCATATTTTCAAGAATTTGTTTATTAGATATGGAATTCGAAAGGCTTTTCTCATTAGTAAATGTAGATAACTCATATATTAAACCTTGTTCAAACCTTTTGATTATAGGAAATTTTTACTTCAGAAGAAATGGTACTTTGTGTTTGACAAATAGGTTCTTCTGAAATATTCTGATCGATTTTGGATGAAAAATCCTTATATACCGAATCTAGAAAATCATTGACCATTTTATCTTCCAGAGATTTAGGTTCTGTGTAGATAGGAGGTAAAGGAGATCGACTATTTTTTTCCTGGTATATATGAACCTTTTCTACCTTTTCAGTAATATCAGAATTTGAAGCATTATTAGGAGCATTGATACCGAGAGTGTTTACAGAGTGGCTAGAAATTGGGGCATTATATGTCTTAACACTAGCTCTACTATTGATATCAAATGCAGGTATATCAACAAAATTTTTTTGATTTTATAGATACGCAATTACTACTACGTGTCAGTTTTTTTATGCATATGCCCTCCTTCTAGCTCACCGGGTTTTAATAGATATCTTACTGTGAGCCTCTTCTGTAATAGTGGTTCATCCTTTCTAATAAGTCTTTTAGGTTTAGTAAATACTTTAGGTATTACTTCTCCCAATGTCACTGCATATGATGGTGACATGCCTATTAATTGAGTTTTATTATTATTCATATAGTTGATAATTTTCTGAAGTATCTTGTTCCATAATTTCGAGCGTTCACCTTCTTTGAGTTTTTCCTCTATAGCATATTGAATTTTGTATATAAGTCTAGCCAAATCTTGTTTGAATTTTTTAACTAATGCTAAGCTCTCAAAGCTATAAAGATTAACAACTCTTATAGAAACATTATATCGCTCCATTCCTTTAGCAAATGATCCTTTAAACTCACCAGCACCATCAACCATCAACAATGCTGGCCACTTGAGAGGATTTTTGGGATCATTGTATATTTTTTCGATCACGTTCCAAACCTCTGAGCTAGTCTTTGATGTTAATGCTACTGCACATTTATATCTAGTTGCCACGTCTATCAACACCAAAGTGTGTAAATATATTTTTTCTCTTTTCTGGTTATCGTGAATATGGGGGAGTAGGTCATATTGATGTAATTTATTAGGAATTCGGCATTTAGAAAAGCTAGCCTGGGCCTTAATCTTTGGTGGGTGTCGATATATCTGGTAATCATACTGATTCTCTAACCAGTTTGTGATATCTTTAAGTCAAAAATGAGTATATCCTTCTTTTATACATATTTTTCGTATTTTTCTAGGATTGGAATAAAAGCTGGGCACATTATAGTAGATCATATGAAAAACAATTTGCAATTCCTTATTAGGGTCTATAATAATAGTAGGTTCACTCATATACAAAAGACTAATTTTTCGATTCTTGTTTATTATGTTATAAA